GGCCCCCCGAGGGCGCTCGGCCCCTCCCTCCGGCGGAGGCCGGGACAGCAGCGAGTGGAGATGGGGAGCGCCGGGGGCGAGGCCCTCCCACGGGCTGCGGCGCGGCCCTTCCAGGGGGAGGTCCTGCTCTGGGGGGCTCAGTCCCTCAGCCCCCCCAGGCCAACGGGGGCTCCTCGGGCGCAGGGTGCTCAGCTTCTGCCCGGGCCCCACTCAGTCCCGGGTACGAGTCTCAGTTCCCCACCCCCACCGCTCCCCAAAGGCCCCCGACCCTCAACTGGCCCCTTCCCAGCTCCAACTGCCCAGGGGTCCAGGGACAGACCCGGGGCCCCCCACCGTTTCCGGGGTTCAAACCCCGCCCACCGCCGGTTCCCGGGGAGGGGGGGGTCGCTGCAACCTGCCCCCCTCCCCTGGGTCCGCCCCTGTACTGCGGCCCCCTGACCTACAGAGACAGGGCACGCAGAGGGGGGTGAAGGAAGCTGCTCCGGCCCCGCCCCCCCCAGCTTGCGCGCGCCCCCGCCCTCCCCCTTCAAACGCGCGACCCTTAAGATATAGGGATTTAAATAAAATTTGAATAAATCCTCTCCTAAAATGGGAGGGTGTAAGGAAAGGATGGGGCAGAGGCAGAAAAGGGGTGGGGGTAGTTGGGGTGTCTCAGCACCCCTAGTCCCCTAGCCTCGCGCTGCTTCGGCCCCAGGCCCTGGTCGCCGCTCTCATCCCTCCTCAGCTCCTTCCTCCTTCCTCCTCTCCTCCCTCTCCCCTCCCTTCTTCCCACCTCCTCCTTTTTACTCCCTCCTTCTCCCAAAGGAACCCCGCCCCCTTCTCCCTCCTTCCTCCACCAGCTCTACTTTCCAGGACAAGCGTGTGCAAAGCACGACGGGAGATGTAGTCCTGCAAATTCTGGGGCTATCGTTGGAAATATAGGATACTGGGGCCAGCCGGCACTACAACTAAGATGGCGAAAGGCATGCCATGCTGGGAGCCGAGCATGGCGGGAATTATAGTCCAGTTGACCAGAGACTCCCCGTAGCAGGACATAGAGAAGGAGCGGGAACGATGACTACAAACAAGATGGCCTTTTCTCCCGACCCGACCTCCTTTCCAGGCACTCACACGCCCTCTGGTCCACAACCCTCCGCGTGTGTGGTACCTGACGGGAGTCGCAGTCCATCTGCTGCCTTCCCGCTGCCATTTCTACTCGTCAGGAACAATGGAAAGGTGAAAAGGAACAAGGACTACAAGCAAGATGGCGAACGAGGGGCGTACACCTAATAAGTCGATTTTATGAAGTGGGATGGGAATAGTAGTTTTCTAGCCTTCCTGTATTCCTTAAGAGTGCCAGAACCAGGAGGATAAAGAGACTACCATAAAGATGGCAGGCTACCTAACCTTTCCTGGTCGCTTCATTCTACCACTTAGAGCGCCTCGCCCGCCTGAACTATCAAAATCCCGCACTCGGTAGTGCAAAGCCTGCCGGGAATTGTAGTCGTCCCCGCTCCCCTCTTTTATCTTCTGTCGAGACAATGGAAGTGAGATGGGCGGGGACTACTGCAAAGATGGCGGGTGTAGGAGCAGACGATGCTATGGGACTTGTAGTCCAACTGCTAAGACTAGTCTCTGCGGATAAGCAGAAAAGGACCGCTGTAGAGATGGCAACCTAGTCACTTGCCCTCGGTGCCAGTACCTGCTGGGGTATGAAGTCTCTTCTTTAGCTGTACAGAGAAAGGACTGTAGCTGTTGAAATATGTATCACCGTGAACACGCCAAATTGCAAGCGAACGGAAACGGAAAGTCTACTTCCTCCTGGCTTTCTTTTCCAAAGGCTTGCAGGGAAATGTAGTCTCAGGCTTTCATTCTCCCGTGGAGAATTGATGTCACCTGTGGGAATCAGTGCGGGTGAGAGAGAAACATCGGGGTGATCAGGGAATCAAGAATGTCGGCCTTCTCGGATAGTGAGGATTTCATGTTTTAAAAGAAAGCAACTGTAACCAATATTGTGCCAAGGGAGGCGTGGTTCTCGCCGGAAAGTACACCCACGCTGTTGTCCCTTAGAAGCCTGGGCTTCTCACACACGATGCTCCTTCTCCCAAACCTTTGCAAATCAATACCTTACACGTCAGGCGGACCAAAGGAAGAAGACTTTGGAATGTACAAAATCTCCTTCCTGCCTTAGGAGGTCATCAAACCTCAGTTTTTTACCCGAAAGGGAGTATGATAATACTCACCTCCAAGCAGAGTTAGCGTTAAAAGTGTTCAAGAAAGTAACCAGCTCTGGTACGGAGCATGTGACGGCACTTATTTTTTCGAGGCCCCTTCCATCCCCGTCGTTTAGGAAGCCCAGGAATCCATCATGCCGGACTGTTAGCTTCTGTGAGAAGAAAACTGACGAGTAGATTACCCCCATTTTAACCCCCACCCCTCTCCCGTCCTCGGCTGGGTCTTCCCACCATCTCTACCCAGCACTGTTCCCAGGGGGCGCCCTCTCTCCTTTTAACAGAGGACGCGCACATTGACCAAATTTCCTCAACCCGAACTGGTAGCGTTTGTGTGCTGTAAAGCCTCGTCTTTTCAGCCTGGGAGGCCTCCTCTGAACTCTCAACTGCCAATGGGTCTGCTTTATGCCATCCTGATCTTCCTCCTGCGCCCTGGAAAATTCGCTACGACGAACCCAAGCCAGTCCCACCGCTTCCTTGTCTCCTCCGACTTTCCAGTCCTGCTGAAGACTTGGTGGGTGTGGTTTTTCTGGCTGGGAAGTTAACTCTGGCCAAAACTGTGTGAAGTCGCTGTTAGCTAGGACTACTAGCCTTAGGGTAAAAAGGCTCCTTGAAGCTCACACTTCGCTCACTGTTCCCAGTGAAGCGTCTGTCCATTTTAAATCTTCTCTGCTTTTACTTCCGCTGACGAGGACTGCTGTCTGGTCTTTTTCTAGTCCACACAGGCACCAAAGTTGCACTTTTTCACCCGTCCCGCGAGCGTCTCTATCCAGCTGTTTATCCTTCGAGTTCTTACTAAAAGTCCACTGCTCCAATAAAGCCTTCCAGTAATTCCCAAATGAGATTTCATTTATTGTCCTTTCCACTAACTTGTACGCTGAATCCACCTCACAGGTTTTGTTTGATTTTGCTGTCCTAGGAATCAAAGCCGGGATCACCCCCGCTTTGTGAGGCAAGCATTCTACCACAAGCAACATCTCAGTTCTGCCTCAAATACTGCTAAATGCTTTCCGCTTCTCATTTGATCCTCTAAGAATCTTGTAATAGTCGAACCTGGCAACCAGTACCTTTAATCTCAGCACTTCTGAGGTAGAGGCAGGCAGATTTCAGTTTGAATTCAGCCTGGTGTACATAGTTCCAGGACAGTCAGGGCTACACAGAGAAACCCTGTCTCGAAAAAACAAGAAAAAGAATCTTCTAAGAACTCTTATGGGTGTGGTAGTGCAAACTTGATCTCCCAGTATTTGGGAGATTGAAATAAGAGGATCTCACATTCAAAACCAACCTTTGCTACATATGAAGACATTGTCTCAAAAATAAACAATGTGAGTTGTGGGGCTCAAGCCTTTAATTATAGCACTTCGGAGGTGGAAGTAGGAGAATTAAAAGTTCAAGGCCATCCTAAACAGCAGAAGACCCATAAAACAAAACCGCTAAGTGAGAATCCCACTTTATAGATGGAAGCTGAGGTTCTCAATGTTAGAAATAAGCTCAGAGTCACAAGGGAAGGCAAACCTTGTTGTTGGTTGTTTTTACTCTACTCTTCAGGGACCCACCACCCAGTCCCCAAAGAAATAGAGTCTTACTATTACTTATAAATGCAGGACCTTAGCTTGTCTTATTTCTAGCCAGCTTTTTCTTAAATTATCCCTTTTTACCTCCAGGCTTTTTTTCTTTCTCTATTTCTTTTTTTTTTTAAGATTTATTTATTTATTTATTCAGTATCCTGCCTGTAGGCCAGAAGAGGGCACCAGATCTCATTATAGGTGGCTGTGAGCCACCATGTGGTTGCTGGGAATTGAACTCAGGACCTCTTAGGAGAACAGCCTGTGCTCTTAACCTCTGAGCCATCTCTCCAGCGCCCTAGAACTTTTTTGTTTTAAAGATTTATTTATTATGTACACAGTGTTCAGCCTCCATGTATGCCTGCAGGCCAGAAGAGGGCACCAGATCTCATTACAGACGGTTGTGAGCCACCATGTGGTTGCTGGGAATTGAACTCAGGACCTCTGGAAGAGCAGGCAATGCTCTTAACCACTGAGCCATCTCTCCAGCCCCTCTTTCTCTATTTCTGAATACCTTACTTTCACTCCTACTTCGTGGCTGGCTGGGTGACTGGCCCCTAATGTCCTTCTCCCCTTACTCTCTTGCTTCTTGATCCCTGCTTCCTCTTACTCTCTCTTTTTCTCCTTCTGTCTATTCTCCCTACCCACAAGCCTCTCCTATCCTTGCTCCTTCCTGTCTTGCTATTGACCATTCAGCTCTTTATTAGACCAATCAGGTGTTTTAGACAGGCACAGTAACATAAATTCACAAAGTTAAACAAATGCAACATAAAAGAATGAAACATGGGCTGGAGAGATGGCTCAGAGGTTATAGGCACTGGCTGCTCTTTCAGAGGTCCTAAGTTCAATTCCCAGCAACCACATGGTGGTGTACAACCATCTATAATGAGATCTGGTGCCCTCTTCTGGCGGGCAGGCATTCATACCAGCAGAACACTGTATACGTAAAAAATAAATAAATTTTTTTTTAAAAAAAGAATGCAACACATCTTTGCATCACTAAACAAATGTTCCACAGCATAAACAAATGTAACTCATCTTAGAATAATATTCTACAACAGCTCAGGCCTTTAAACCCAGCACTCAGGAGGCAGAGGCAGGCAGATCTCTGAGTTCCAGGTTTGGTCTATGGAACTTGTTCCAGGGCAGCCAGGGCTAACAGAGAAATCTTGTCTTCAAGTGGGGGTGGGGTAGGGAGTAGGACTTGAAAGAGCAAACACGAAAGGAAAGGTTTGGGTGTTTATTCTAGTGCAAATGGTGACAGTGTGTCTTCCCCATTGGCTGGGATCTGGCCTCCCTGTCCTATGCAGTTAGCTAGTCTGAAAAGAATTGGAGCACAGGAAATGGGGGGGAGGGCGGGGAGGAGTCACTGCTTCAGGCTATCAAATTCCTAGACTAGAGTAATGGGCCTCTGTGTGAAGGGCCTTTGGGTTTTACAGGGTAGGGGGAATGAAAATATTTTGCATAAATATCTTACTTGGAGAGAGAAATTAATAGTATTTTAATTCCTTGTCCTAAACACGTTTTATAGTTGTTGATAGAGAAAAATCACATTTGGTATTTCTTTTGTTGTTTGGGTTTTTTTTTGTTTTTCTTTTCTGTTCTTTTTTTTTTTTTTGAGACTGGATTTCTCTGTAGCTTTGGAGCCCTCAAACTCAGAGATCTGCTTGTCTCTGCCTTCCAAGTGATGGGACTAAAGGCATACGCCTTACTGCCCGACTCATTTGATATTTCTTACGCTGAACTATACACAACAGATAAATACTAGAGTCCGAATTCAAACTTAAGTCCAGAGCACGAGTTCAGAACTACTGAAACATCCTCGACTGATCCAAACCCAGTTCTGTGCGTTTGACATAAGCACAGGAAAACTCTCCTGCAAACAGACATCTTCGAAAATTCTGAAGTCTCGAATTCTGAGTTAGTTTGTGTTATTTGGCAAAGGAACTGCTAGAGTCGAGTACCTGTTTCCCCTTTTGAACAAAACAAGGACTGTAGAGATGAATCAGCAGTTAGAAGCACTTGTTGCTTTTGTGGAAGATGGGAATTCAATTCCCAGCACCTGCATGCGGCAGCTCATAACTGCCTATAATTCAACTTCAGTGGCTCTGACACTTCTGACCTAAGGGAATCTATGAACAGAGCAACACAGAAGGAAAGAAAGAAAGAGAGAGAGAGAGAGTAGTTCTCAAATACCAGAATTTAGGTTTCAGATACAAAAAGCACTATATTCCCCCTGGTTCTCCACAGTCTTACATGGAAGCATCATAGGCCTCATTCTAATTAACTCTGAAAGCTACAACAAGCTCTCTCTCTCTCTTTCTCTCTCTCTCTCTCTCTCTCTCTCTCTCTCTCTCTCTGACAGATTCTCAGTGCATAGCTTCAAGTAATCTAAACCTACTTGCCATGTAGACCAGGCTGGCCTCAAACTCAGAGAGATCCTTCTGCCTCTGCCTCCTGAGCGCTGGAATTTAAAGGTATTGCCATAACACCCAGCTACAACTCCTATATAGTCCCTCAGTGCTGAGTGGTGGTTTTGCTCCCTAACCTACAGGCAGATAGGAGACTACATAGGAAAACACAGGAAAAGTCGGGTGTGGCTCAACCTTAGCAGTGGGAGAGTGCTGGACTACCATGCACCAAACCGTGAGCTCCACCCCCACCACTGAAAAAGGAAAAAGGAAGGTGTTTGGGTGAAAGCGGCACCCCCGGCATCCACAAATCCAAAGAGTATTCCAAGCCCCCACCCCTGGGAGATGCCTCAGTCCAGACTCCGCCCCTGAGAAAGCCTGTCAAAGGATGACCCCACCCCAGAGATACTCAAGACCACTCCCAAAGGGTATTTAAACTGCTCCCCAGAGAACAAACAAATGCGTGGTTTTCCCATCTTCCTTTCTGGTCTCCTCTCTGCGGGTGGGGGTGGAAGCTGAAAAGCCATTCTGGAGCCTTGGTATCTTTTAAACCTGGGCTTTTTCTAATTCAGTTTGATTTGGTCTGATTCGGATTATTGTGACAATGGAGCGGCTTATGGGGTGCAGAAACTTTTCGGAAGGAAAGAAGGAAAAAACACTTACCTTCTCACTTCTTAAATGAAATTTTTACCACCAACAGATACTAGTTGTGCAGTTAAAACCTGATTTAAGAGCTGGACTGACAACTCAGAGGTTAAAAGCACTGGCTGCTCTTCCAGAAGTCCTGAGTTCAATTCCCAGCAACCGCCTGGTGTCTTACAACCACCTATAAATGAGATCTGGTGCCCTCTTCTGGCCTGCAGGTGTACATGCAGGCAGTACACGGTATACATAATAAATAAATCTTAAAAGCAAAAAACAATAAGTTCAGCCAAGGAGGCTGAGGTGGAAGTACGTCCTGAGCCCAATGACTTAAAAATCAACCTGAGTAACACAGCAAAGATCCCATCTCAAAATAAATAAATAAACGAAATAAAGAAAAACAAAATGTGAATTAGAAGTCAGTAATTTGCCTAGACTGGCCTGGTACCTGTTCTAACAGCCCAGAGGTTTGAAGCCTTGAGAATGGTCCCAGTTTTAGGATGTGTGTACTTATTGGGGAGGAGTGTCCCCAGGAGCAGGCTTGAGGTTTCAAGAGACTCCCACCATTCCCAGTGAGTTTTCTTAGCCTCCTGCTTATGGATCAAGATGTGAGGCTCAGCCACCATGGGCGCTAGCCTCTGCCCCTGTAAGCCTATAACCCTTTCTGTAAGGCGCGCTGGTCACACTTTTATCACAACAGGAAAGGAACTAAGACAAGCTGGTGTTCCTCCTGGGCAGTCGGTGGGGTCACAAGTGTGTGTTCCCTACTGCCATGGCTTGTGAGGCCTTTAATCCTCTCTTCCTCTTTCCCTCGAGACAGTTTTACGACAAAGCCCAGGCTGGCTTCGAACTCATGATCACCTGCCTCAGCCTCCTGAATGCTGGCAATGTAGACCTGTGGTGCCAATGAGCTCCTTCACGTGCACCCTCACGCTCCCGACCAAGAAGCTGTCTCCTGGAGCCCTTTTATTTTTTTTAATATTTTTTTTTATTTTTTATTTTTTTTATTTATTTATTATGTATACAATATTTTGTCTGTGTGTCTGTCTGCAGGCCCGAAGAGGGCATCAGATATCAGTTCAGATGG